ATCTGAAATATAGTGAAGATTGGACCACAGGAAACCCCACCACCCACAAAAAATATGGCTCCAAATGTTAAATATGATCTGATTTTAATGAAATATAGTGTTAACCTTCATAATTCGGGAAAATACATTGAAATTAAGTCAGTGCACATATTCCATATCCTCATTGTTTAGGTTAGGTTAGGATAGGTTGACGTGGCCGCTAGGCCCAGAGGGCCACCACACTTAGGCCCAATCAGGGCCCCGAAACGGAGTTGTTTCGGCGATCTAACCCCGTTTAGGTCGGCGGAATATCTCAGACGTTGTTCGTCCATAGGGCTGCATCTGCTACGTATTCTACTGCTCAGGGCTCGCATCGAGTCAAATCCTGGGCCAGAAACTTACACCTGCTGTGTATACCAGATACGACTACACCACAACTCCACCTCAGTCAAATGCAATGCTTGCAACGGGTGGAGTCACCTTAGAGTCTGGTCAGGCCTTCGGACACATCGTCAGTGGACCACTTCATTTGTGGCCCCCTGCTGCTTTAACAGAGCTGCCGCACGGCAAACCCCAGTCCGCCTGAGCATCTCAACACAAACACCACAGCACAACACAATACAATAGACCGAAACACAACCGCACCGCTACCCACACGCCGCCGCCAACAACTCTTAGTTCCCCCTACAATCTGCACGGTATATCAGACCAGGGTATTCCGTAATGTGACATGAGTCAAGTGCAACACCTGCCTTGGCTGGTGCCACTTTAGGGCATGTTCAGGTCTGCGCACCACGCGAGATTGGACGGGGAATTTCGAGGGCCTGTCTTGCGCTGCACAGTCGCGAGCTCCAGCTTGGGCACCACCCAGTACCACCACAGGGCGGCACACCCCACTGCAGCGCTCACAGGCTATGGCGGTTAGGAAAGACATATCTCTAACCCCCCGCATAACAACACGTCTCCCGAACCACACGAAGCTGCTTCAATTTAACTGTAACGGACTTCAGAGCAAGATTGAGGAGATGACCGTCTTCATGGGAAGGCATGGCTGCGGTCCAAGAGACGAAGTTTCACAGCAATTCAATATTGTTGAATTGCGCCGGGTACAATGTGCACCGTCCAGATCGCGAGCGAGATAATGGTGGTGACCGCCGAGATACCATCCTAGAATGTCAGGGCATTGCTATCCGGTCAGGCCATGTCGAGCTCGAAATATTTAACCAGCTGCCCGGCAGGATATCACCCTGAAATAGGTGCGCTTCTCAGAGGTGAAATCCGTACGGTAGTTGGTGACTTTAATGCGCACCACGATCTTTGGCATTCAAGCCTGCCAAATGATCGTAGGGGAATACACTTGGATGAGCAGACTGCAACTCGCCAGACATAACAATAGTCAGCGCTGGTCTGATAAACAGCGTATCATGGCGACCTATGCTGACCTTGGTATCAGACCATCTGCCCATAGTCATCTCGATCGATAAACCTCCCGACTTTGCTTCCGCGGAACACCGGACTTATATCAACTTTACCAAAGCTGATTAGAAAGGCTTCGCGGATTTTACCGAAAGAACCTTCTCTGCCCTCCCCACACCAACCGACGTCCACCTAGGTGAACGCAAGTTCCGCAGGGTTGTCGCTGCTGCTGCAGCTCGCTTCGTACTAGCAGGTTGCATAACGGACCCCCGCCTAAACTTCCCTGCTGAAGCGGCTGTCCTAGCCGATGAGCGTGACAACCTTCGTCAGGCCGATCCCGGAAATCCCCGTATCAGGAATCTCAACACGGAGATTCGCAGCTTGTGAACGTATATAAGCGAAAAAAGTGGGCAGATCATTTGAAGCCTTGCAACTTCGCCTCTGGTGTGACCAAGCTTTGATCAACCGTGAGCTCACTGTCCAATCCGACAATGCGCGACGACAGAGTCGAAATATCTTTCGGCGACCACGCTTCACCGGACCCGGAGAGATACGCGAGCTACTTTAACCGGCAGTTTATACTGCATCCTCCAGTGGACAGAGCCAACCAAGCGTCGAGTGACCAGAAGGCTGCACAAACTGCCAACAACAAGTGTGCCTCTTGTTTTCACCAGCGGTGAATTTCAGGTAGCCATCGGGAAGGCGAAAGCCTCCAAAGCCATAGGACCCGACGGAATATGCATGTTGATGCTGAAAAATTTGGGTCCTGGGAGGAGTAGCGTACCTAACGGAGGTCCTCAATTTGTCAATGGCCACTCTCGTCATTCCAGACATCTGGAAGATGGGGAGAGTGGTCCCACTGCTCAAACCGGGGAAACCGGCCAACAAAGGAGTCTTATCGTGCGATAATCATCCTTTCCCCGGTAGCGAAGACACTAGAGGCCTTGCTATTTCCGTATTTTACGAACCACCTGACCCCAGTACAACAACAGCATTTAACGCCATAAACACTTAGATAGCACGTGGTCTAAACCGCAACCGTCCCTGTGAGAGAACCATTCTAGTATCGTTGGGTCTGTCAAAGGCGTTTGATACCGTCAGTCACTTCACGCTGGTAGAAGACATACGAGGCCTCTCTCCCACAGAGACTCAAACGGTGGTCGGCGAATTATCTGAGTGGTCGACTTTTGTCAGTAAGGTTTAGAGACAAATCAAGTAAACCTAGAAAAATAAAACAGTGGGTTCCACAGGGTGGTGTCCTTTCCCCATTACTGTTTAACTATTATATTTCCAAGCTCCCTCAACCACCAGAGGGAGTCTCGATTGTCTCTTACGCTGACGATTGCTCGATAATGACGTCTGGGAATGGAATTGATGACCTGTGCTCGAAAGTAAACGGGTATCTCTCCGAGTTTTCTCGCTTCTTCTCTGCTAGGAGTCTAACCCCCTCCCATACAAAGTCCTCTGCGACGTTATTTACCACCTGGATGGAGGAGGTCAGACTACCGCTAGGTATTCACGTCGATGACCCAATGAATAATCCTAAAATACTCGGAGTAACATTCGACAGTCTGCTCCCCTCTGCGCACGCCCGCCATTGTCAACAAAGTACAGAGCCGCAACAAGTCGCTAGCCGGCAGTACCTCGAGCAAAGACAAAGAAACATGGCTGGCAACATACAAGGCCGGCCGGTTCTAAATTACTCAGCACCAGTGTGGTGGCCAGGGACCAGTAGGACGCAGTGGATGAAGCTACAGACAGCACAAAACACCACACTACGGAGAGCGACCAGATGCCTTCTGATGTCGCCAGAACACCACCTGCACGACAAAGGGGAAATGCTCCTTATAAAGGAGCATAACACAATGCTCTGCAAGCAATTCCTAGTAGGGAGCCACAGACGTGGACACCCGAACAGACACCTGCTGCAGAGGAGCCCTCGCCAAAGCATGTCAAAAGGCATCTTTACGAACTGTCGGACGAAGTCCAGAGGTTCATAAAGAAGCCTCTGGATCCGTCAGCTTATCGGCAGGCCTGTAACGGCATTCACAGGGAGTCTTAAGTTACGTAGGCTCCAGACCTGTGAATGCTGTTCTGGGCACACAGCCACCAGACATAGACGAGACGGAGCTTCGTCTTCCTCGGGAGGCACGAACCACAATAGCCCAACTTTGCTCTGGCTACTGCAGCAGGTTGAACTCATACGTGATGCAGATGTGCCAATGAATGTCCAGCATGCGGGGAGACACCCCACGACTCGAATCAGCTCTTCGTATGCCTGTAAAACCCAACGCAGCTAACGCGGGCGGGGTTGTTGTAGCCGCTACAACAACAACAGGATCCATTGTGATACCACATGGATCCAAAACCCCTACTCCTTAAGCCAATTCGTGGAATCTACGAACCTTAGCAACTGCCGTATTCCAACCTTAGGAGTTGCGTCGTCTAGAAAGCCTATACCTAGGTACTTCTGCCTTTTCCTGCCCAGTGCAGGGCAATCGCAGAGTAAGTGCCTTATTGATTCAGACTCTTCTTCGTCTTAGCAGCTCCTGCAGTAGTCGTTGTGACTAACCCCGAGGCGTTCTGCGTGCCTTCCTATCAGGATATGTCCTGTGAGCAAGCTAATTGCCAATGACATCTCTCGATCTCCGTACATCTCATTTTGGCCATGTAAGCTTCGTTGTATTACAGTTTTCAGTGCGCTCCCATCTGGAGGCGCTTCTTCAAGGAAGTGGTAGAGTCAAGTGCCATAAGGGCCGCCTGACTGAGTATATATATATTTTAGTAGTGGCGATGACAGCTAGGTTTAGGCTGTCAACGGCTTCTTGTATGGCTGCCAATTCGGCTTGAAAGACACTACAGTGGTCAGGTAGTCGGAATGATCTTTGTGTTCCCAATTGTTCGGAGTAGACACCTCCCCTACCCTATTTTCTAGTTTGGTGTCGTCCGTGTAGAACCTTATGGCATCTTCAGGCCCGGAACTCTTTCGAACCATGATTCTCTGCTAGGTAACGTTACGCTATAACACTTAGTAAAAGTGAGCCTTGGTACACAGTAGTCCGTTGTACTCGGTAGTTGTTGGTTAATAAGAATTGTGGTGAAGCCGCTTTCCAGCTTTTGAGCTCATGTAGTCTTAGGGCTGCAATCGCAGCGTATCGCTTTCCCATAATATCTATGGGTATGATG